AAAGGACAAAAAGATAATTATCATTTTATCTAAAGACGTATATGTCAAATGACTTCATTATGTGTCCTTGAGGCTAAAGAATATAATAGCATTTCTTTTTCCAAATCTTCCATCAGATAAAAGTAGCAAACTGAGATATGTACAGAGGATGTACAGAAATAAACTATTTCTTCAAAGTAATTATTTTAAATATTTTAAATTTTTTTTCTCTTATCACCATCAAACTATCCCAGTGGGCATTTAGGACTTTCCCAATGGCTGTAACCCCAATGGGATTTTTTTCATTTAACAAAATCATTCTAGATTTCATCTTGAAGAACCAACAGGTAAGAACAGCAAATAATTTTTTAAATGTATTAAAACATTATCATACTATATATAGCGCTAGTGGTATAAGAATAAATAGATCAATTGAGCCAAATAGATAACTGCAAAACAGTAACTGTTATATGTAAGAATTTAATGTATAGTAAAGTAGGCTAATAAATCAATCAGGAATGAAAGTTCTATTTATAAATTATTAGCTATTTCGAAACAAAATCAAATTGGATCCTTTCTCCACATAAAAATATAATTCCAAATGGAATTAAAGAGTTAAGTATAAACTAGCCAAACCATAAATTTAAAACAAAAATTGAAGTGAAGTTTTATGACATCTCTGCAGGTCAAAGAACTTTCTAAGTTGGGAAGCAAAGGGGGAAGTCAAACACAAAGAAAATGAGTGACGGACTTGACTACTAAAAATGTTAATTTTTTGTGTGTCAAAGAAAAGTAATGGCAAACACCAAACTGAGAAAAGATACTTTCAATAGATCAAGGATTAGTATATAAACACTCATTAAAAAAAAAAAAAAAAAGGGCTTCCCTGGTGGCGCAGTGGTTGGGAGTCCGCCTGCCGATGCTGGGGACGCGGGTTCATGCCCCGGTCTGGGAGGATCCCACGTGCCACGGAGCGGCTGGGCCCGTGAGCCATGGCCGCTGAGCCTGCGCATCCGGAGCCTGTGCTCCGCAACGGGAGAGGCCACAACAGTGAGAGGCCCACGTACCGCAAAAAAAAAAAAAACCTCATAATGTGTTAAGAAAAATAGTAAGATCCAAATGGTTAAATAGGCAAAGTACACAAAGAGCCAATTCATGAACAAGGAAATACAAGTTTACCAACCATATAGACACTCAATCACTAAAGAAATATGAAATAAAGAGTGAGACACCAAATTTCAAGAAGAATTTTTTTTTTAACAAGAATACCCATTTCTAGGGATGGTGCGGTGAGACAGACACTTTCATGCAGTACTGGTGAGCATATATATAAACTGGAATAACCATTTAGGAAAAAATATTTGGTGATCATGTATACATCAAGAATCTTAAGCTGTTCATGTTTTCTGATCTAAAAATTGCACATCTTGAAATTCATTATAAGGAAGTCATCATAAATACAAGGAAACCTTTATGGATTGAAATATGAATCATGACGGAATTTATAATAGCAAAAAACTGGAATGATTCAAATGTCTAAAAATAGGGCTTCCCTGGTGGCGCAGTGGTTGCGGGTCCGCCTGCCAATGCAGGGGACACGGGTTCGTGCCCCGGTCCGGGAAGATCCCACATGCCGCAGAGCGGCTGCGCCCGTGAGCCATGGCCGCTGAGCCTGAGCGTCCGGAGCCTGTTGCTCCACAACGGGAGAAGCCACAACAGAGAGAGGCCTGTGTACCGCAAATGTCTAAAAATAGATGACTGGTTAAGGAAAATATAGTTGGACTGGTTGGACTATCATGAAATCATTAAAAATAATGTTTTAAAATCATTTGTAAGAACATTATATATAACTGTGTTTTTTTCACATTAAGTGGAAAATGCAGCAGAATACAATAGTGTAAGAGCACATATGTTTATAAAGCAATTTGTTTTATTAAAATACAGAAGAAAAAACACTTAATTTTCAACAATAATTGTCTTTAGGTTATAAAACTATAGATGATTTTCCCTCATTTCCATTATCTACATTTTAAAAACTTTCTACAATATGAATAAGTGTTTAGGAACTATTTTTAATAGACTTATACCAAAATCTAGATTTACTTATTGAAAATAATTGGAAGAAAAACTTCTCGCTTTAAATGAAGGTGAGCAATCCTATAAATGGAAAATTTCTTTAATACTTTATGAGATTCAATTTCCCAAAATGAACAGAGGAAAAGGCCTTATCTAAAGGCCAGGATTGGGGGTTCAGAACTGGGGAAAGGAGCAAACCTAGTTAGAAAGTATAGTTTAAAGTAGAGTTAGAAAGGCATATGCAATGTGTTATTTCTACAATAAAAATACAGAAACTGAAGCTCAACCAAACCTTCTTGGATAATGAGAAGAAACAAAAGACAGATTGAGAAACTATTCTGAGTGAACCCTACAGTCAAATATATGTTTGTTAGCTATACCTTGCTGTTCATATATATATGACACCATTTACATTGTTATTTCTGCTGTATATCATAACCATAGATGTTTTGGTTTAAAATGAGTATGTGGTTTGTTTCAAAATAAAATTTGATTTTGTTACTACAGCGTAGTAGTAAAAAGGAGGAAATGAAATGTTTACGTTTATCAAAAGGGATCCTTGGCTCAAAAAAGGCTGAGAAACTGTCATAAAAGGCAATGCATCCTTGTGTCTTTCCTCTGGAGCAGTCTGGCCATCACCCTCCAGGACTCAGAGGCCTCAGTGTGCCCATCGTAAGATATGCTAGGGGGACTCCCAATTTGCCGACAATTTTCTGCTACTTCATAAGGAGGTGTGCACGGAGAACTAAGAGTCATAAAAACTGCATTTATGCAAGATTTACTTTGGGTGAAAACTTAACTTGAGAAATTCCCACCTGCCTAAATTAATACCTTATGTAGTTCTGGCCTACTTGGGAAAAAGGCTAAGATTATCCTTCTCTCTTGCATCTTTTACCAACTGTAATCTTATGCAGAAGGTAGAACATACATTACTATTCCTGTTTTACAAATATGGAAACCAAGACCCAGAGAAGTTGAGTGATTTCCCCAGAGTCCACACCCTGGCCTCCTGATATCAGCCCAAAAGCTTTCTGCAGTAAAGAACAGTATTTGTCTTGACAGTTCATTCATTAATTCAAAACTGTTTATTGAGCACCTATTGCGTGCCTCACAACGCCTGTTACGTGCCAGGCTGTGTTCCTGGTGTGGGAGACAATGTCCCTGTTCTCATGGAGATTACATTTTAGTAGGAAAGCCCAGCAAGACATAAGTAGACAAGCAAATGTCAGATAGTTTAAAGTTCCCTGAAGAAAAATAAAGTGATGGAGTGTAACTGGGACAGGGAGAGGGCACTTATTTTAGATAGGATGGTCAAGGAAGTCCTCTCTGAGGGAAGAGGCAGAAGGAATAGTTAAGTGCAAAGATCCTAAGCAGGGAGCAGCTTGGCAAGCTCGAGAAACAACAAAGAGGCCAGTGTGTCTGAAGTCTTAAGAGCATCCTGCCACACACTGTCCCCTGCTCTTCCACCCCTTCCTAGGCTTCTTTTGTACCTTATTTTTTACCTCTAGGTTAAGGGGCCCATTACCTCCTTTATCAGCTTCCCTAAAGAAGCCCCTTTCACCAGTCTACTCACTCCTTCACCTTCTTTTGATAAGAAAAGAGCCTAGGAATACTAGTTGGCTTTCACTGACTGTCTCCAGTTTCCACTTGAGAAAAACAATAATATAAAGGAAACGTAAGATCTGAGCCCAAGAGATTCAATAGCTTGCACGTATTGTCCTGGAAGCTTTTATAACAAATGTATCTAGCGTGGCCTGATAGTTGCCACAAACATGTCTTGACTGTTTAAAAAAACACAATAAACAATGAAAATCCTCTAACACCAGGCTCAATACAATCTCTCTTCAATGACCCAGAAGGAACTTCAAAACCTTGCAGTGTATCGTCAGACACCGAAATTACTACCAAGCATTTCCCCTCATTTTGTTTCTGTCTAGAAGCTACTGTGCAGGGCTGGTGTTTTCGTGGATGTTTTTGTCCTGCTAACAAAGAGTGATCGAGCTAGGTACTTCCGTAGAAATGCCCTGTGAGTACTTAAAGATATAGACTGAAAAAAACAAAGAATATAATAATAATACTGAGTACCGAAAGAAACAGACTGAAAAAATAATAATATAATAATAATAACAACAACAACAACAGCTTACTTTTACTGAACATTTAGTATGTGTCAGGTCCAGTGTTAAATTTTCTACCTGCATATGGCATTTAATCCTCACACGCCTATGAGGTAGGTAGTAATATTATTTACATTTTATGGACAAGAAAACTGAGGGGCTGAGAGGTTAACTTGCCAAAGTCAGCATCAGACCAGCACAAGATTAGGTCTCAGATCTGCCTGACTCTGGAGCCCTGAAGCAAAGATGAAGGTGCATCTGATTCAAAACGGGGCGTTAGACTAAGATGCTTAGGTAAAGAGCAAAACTGAATCATACAAGGGTGTTTTCCCTCCATTCCCTTTATGACTATTGTCAGTCCAAGCTTTTATCAAGAAAGGCCCTATTTCTGAAACCCCCCTCTGCCTGCCAACTCCTCTAAAGAAAACTCAGTAAGTAGATCCAGAGAGGTGGTTTTATTCAGAAACATCCCTCTCTCTGCATCCTGACCTAACTGGTATTGATGTCTTAAAGTAATAGATTCAGTTTCTTAGTCTTCTTCCTCTCCTTGAATTTGACGTTCCTTTGGGAAGGCACCTCCAAAGCCATTTCAAGAGAGCTGGAGAGAGAGGCTTCTCCTTCCCTGAGGAGGTGGCCCCAAAGCTGGCCGCTCCACCATCATCGCAGGCCTCCACCTTGCTGGCCTCTATTAGAGGTCAAAACTGAAATCGGGAGCCTGAGTCCTTTCGGCAGCAAAGGTAAATTCTACACTGCGTTTCCCCACCCCAAAGGGCATCCGCCGGGCCTGGGCCGCACGGTGGGCAGTGGAGGCTCCCACCATGTACTCACAGAACACACAGGCAGTACACTCCCGGGACGCTCTCGCTGTCCCTCAGCAAATAGCTGCCGTCCAGACCCGTGGCAAGCAGGAGCTTCTCCCCCGTCTCCCGGCTGATTTTGCCATGATACACAGCCACCGCCTCCATGGCCTGGGGAACTCTTGGGAGGACCTAGGCGTGGAACGGCAGCGGACAGATGCCACCGCTGCTGCTGCTGCTGCCGCCGCAACCCAACACGAGTCAGCCACCCGCCTCCCAGTTCAGCCAGATGTGCAAAAAAGAGAGAGGAGCGCCCGAACAACAGGATGTTGTCTACCTGCCTGAAAACCTCCCTCTCACGGTTCAATTAAAACCAGCTCAGCAGTTTAGCAGCTTGGTTATTGCCGTAGGGTTCCATCCCCCTCCCAGGCCCACCCACGCAACACAGGGTTTGGATGGATGGGTGGACAGAGAGGGGAGGACCATTGGACTTTGCAAGATTTGGCCTGTACTCCCAACGCACGCAGACAGGAATGCTTGGTAATGCTCCTGTCCTTGCGGTTTTCCCAGGGGGCCACCATGACTTAGCTTAACTAACTGACTTAACTTAATTAGCTTAACTAATCAGTCCCCAAAGGGGTTGATGATAGAGGCAAGTTGTACATGACCTTCATGTGGGGCAGAAACACACTGACAGAGAATGAAAGGCCCCAAAGTTCTGAGACCAAAACACAGAAGCTCTCAGTACTGTCAGTGAACAGACACCCCTGAGCACAGCCAAGAGGCTCCTACAGAATCAGAAGTAGTAAGTGAACAGCGGACTTGGGACAAGTGCCTCCTCTCGCCCTGCCCTAGTCATCTCCAGCAATCTTGATCCTGAACAAATCAAAGTTTCCCAACCTTCTTGTCCAAGATCCCAAGGTGCTGGTTGAGGTACAAAAATCAGTCTGCATCCAAAAATGTTCCAGATTTATCTATTTGATGGGTCTTAGATGAGAGAATAAACCATTTAATTGGTGCTTTGTCTTTATGTGGACTTGTACGTGCCCTTTGATGTATAGGGCCCACCTTTTAGCATTTGGGGCATTGAACTTGTTTTAAATCACACTGTGAGTGTTGAGAATTGTGTTGTAACTTTTATCATCTGTTGTTAATAGAGAATATGGTTTTAGTTCAGTTGATGCTAAACTATCATAAATTTTTTAGAACCTTTCAACCTTTATTTCCTTCTCTCTTCTATTTCAAGATGTGCAGTTAATATTTCCCCCAAACTTCCTCCTTTTTCACTAGAACAAGACTTTGTTTAATGTTTGAAGCTGAACGGTCTTCTACATTTTTCCTTTTGAGTATGTAAAATAATTTTTTAAATTGGAATTTAAGTAGCCGAAGTTATGTTGTCTGTTGTATCTCTTCAACAACATCAGCACCTAGCTCCTTGAGAACCTGGTACAGCTGGGAGCCCAATAGGGAGAACAATTTTTTTTTTTTTTTTTGCGGTACGCGGGCCTCTTACTGTTGTGGCCTCTGCCGTTGCGGAGCACAGGCTCCGGATGCGCAGGCTCAGCGGCCATGGCTCACGGGCCCAGCCGCTCCGCGGCATGTGGGATCTTCCCGGACCGGGGCACGAATCCGCGTCCCCTGCATCGGCAGGCGGACTCTCAACCACTGCGCCACCAGGGAAGCCCGGGAGAACAATTTTTAAATCTTCACTAGTCCTACAGATGGATCAGATGTGCAGAGTTGCCTTATGCCAAAAGCCAGATATTTGCTGTCCATCTGCTAGGGTTGAAAACAATCCTCTACGATTTCAGTGGCAGCTCATAGTTACTCTCCTTGATTGATGCATACTCGGCCTTAGAATCTATCAACCTTGGTAGATAAACTGTAAACATAAGCCTCCTACATTCATTTCCAACACCAAGAATAAAAAAATAAAACAGCATTCAAGATGATGTTGGGGCATGGCTCTGGGGAACTGAGCCAAGATTGTCTCATTATCTGCCTACCTCACTTGCTATGGCCAACTCCACCTCTCACCCTTTTTCATGCTTTGGGTCAAGGAAGAAATTGATCTGATAAGTGAACGCATACACCAATGTTAAGTACTTGAGAAGTTAGTCCACCCTGAACTCTTTATGTTTTGAGTGGGCAAATGATTAGCCCAGAGATTAGTGGGCAAATGATTAGCCCAGAGTGGTGGAATTTCAAACCCGAAAGGAGATGATAGGGAAGGGGATCCCCACATTCACTCCCTATGGACAACAGCCCACCTATGAGGTGAACTGTGAGAACATTCAGTGTCACATAGGCAAAAACAAAACCTAAGCTTTTTTGTCTCTGAACAACCCTGAACAAATCATCCACAAATTTAGGAACAGGGCAACCTCAAGCTGACAGCAAAAGCGTACCATGCATTCTTCTTTTCGTTCTCTGTTTTGTCCTGTGTTGCTAAAATAGCACGCCTGTCAAAGCAGCCAGGTACGATGGGGTTCAGCACAACTAAAACTGTATAAAAAAGGAACAGATAAATTATAAGGTAATAGTACAACTCTCACATCCCGTCCCTCGTTGTCATCTCACAAGCAGCCTGACAGCTGAGCCAGCCCACTACTGCAGTGTTGATGAAAAATACTATCTTCACCCTAGTGCTACACCAGTACTAAACCTGACTTTAGCAAATTCAAAACCTCACGCTGAGCTTGAAGTATAGAGAAAGAAGAATTGTAATGGCTTTCTTCTCTCTCACCATACCCACAAGAGAGGAAAGGGCAAAAAATACAAGAGGGGAGCAATAGAGATAGCAGAGGCACCAATAGAGAAAGACTTAGGAAGAATGGGCCCCGTGATACAAATATAGCTCCCTTAGAAGCAGAATTATCTGATTGTTTATTGTCTGTCTCCCCCACTAGAACATAGGGTCCATGATGGCTAGATTTTGTGTACCTTGGTCACCATTGTATCCTCAGTGTCTGGAACATATCAGATACTAAATGTATTTGCTGAGTGAGTGAATGAATGAGTGAAATTAGTGCTCTCAAGAAAATAAGAGGAAAAAATACACACATGCACACACACAAATTTGGTTCTATGTGCCTCTGGCCCACTTTTGAAATAGCAAGATGAACTGGAAGCACTGGTCCAGCAATTATGAGAGTCTGATTATACTCCATATTTTGCCACTAAATCACTTCCTCTCTCTGAGCCTCATTTTCTCCATCTGTCAAATGGAGTTGAACCAGATGACCCCTAAGGCTACTTCCAACTTTAACATTCTGTGCTTTAAACGAAAGCCAAGCATACTTTAGAGAGAACCAGAGGGGGGAATGGACTGAACTCATTTGTGTGCAAGAAGCAAGAGCTGTTTCCTCAGGTCTTACCCAATAGAGGAAAGATTTTTGTTCTTGTTGTTTTTAAATAACCTAACAAATAAAAACCATGAGGTAGAGGAAGAGAGCTTCACAGCTTAAAGCAAACTACAACCTTTTAGAATATAAATGCCATTTAAATCAAATATAAAAGCATTGACAAACTGTCAGCCAAGGTCAAAAGTATCTTCTTATCTAAACTTGTCACCTCCTGAGGTCTCTGAGAGGTGACAGCATTTTGTTTGTGGATGCCCTGTCTGAGGTGCTAATTGCCTTCATTTCAAATGCCCTAGGCTACTCTCAAACCCAGATAGATTAAAAGGATGATGGCAAGGGTGGTTAGTTTTATAGAGTGGATCTGACATTTCAAAATCTTTTTCTCTAACCTTTCAAAACTAACTTTGTTCTTCAACTAGCTCATCTATAGGTGTGAATTCTCCTGTGACAGTGTTATGATATTGTCACCTGTGGTGAGTTTACACATTCTCTCTTACTAAAATTGACTTCCTTTACAAAAATGAGAAAAGAAAAAAATTACATCTTTTAAAAAAAAGAGCACCTCCTTTTGATATGTTGGTTTACCTATGAGGTTAATTTTCCTAATGCCCTTTTGTAAGTGAAGATTCAGAAACGGTGTTGTGTTTATTTAAGCCTTCTAAAAATATGTTTATTCTTTCAACCAACATTTATGAGCATCTACTGTATGATGGACACTGTGGTAGGTACTTAGGTTAGAGAGAAGAAAAGCATATACCTGATCTCAAGTAGCTCATAGTGTAGTGAAGACAGACAAGCAAACAAACAATTACAATTAACTCAATAAGAGCTGCAATAGAGGGAAGGATGGGGCTCTAGAGGCACAGTAATGGGACATTTAACTCAACTTACATTCTAAACCTGCACAACCTGCTCGAGACAGCAATGTCTTTATCTTTCTGTCTGTTATGTACAGTTCCTTTCACTTGTCCTAAGTTTACCTCCTTCATGACTCAGAAGGTACTCCCTAATTCTAGCTGAAACTCTGCCTGCTTCTGAGGTTTTATTCTTGGAAAAATAGCTAATATATGTTAACTGAATACTACATTCCAGGCTTTCCTGCTAAGCACTTTGCATATATTATCTCATTTATTTATATCAACAACCTTATGAAGCAAATACTATTATTATCCCCATTTTACCAATGGGGAAGCCAAAACTCAGAGATCCTGGGTAGCCTGCTCAAGGTTTCACAACTGGTCAGTGTGAGGCCTGGGATTTGAACACAGGCAGCTGACTTCAGAGCCTGTGCATCTCACCATATCCTCTTCTGTCTCCCAATATTAACTCTGAGGTCGCTGCACCAGACTGGTCAGGCTTCAGTTTCCTATCTAGCAACTGTAATTTTGACTTCTAGAATATTCTTCTCACACTTCTCAAGTGTCAAATGTTCCCATGCTCCGACTTGTAGCATGTCTGTGTCTATCTATATATGCCTTATGAGATCAGATACACTGCTCTATCCTGGGCCTCATTGGTCAGTATGCCTTGGAAGGCTCTTCCAGAGTCAAGGTCTATTCGTCCAGGCTTTAAGATCTGGGATCTGGAGCATCAGCTTATCCATGCAAAGTAATAGATCCCTGAGTAGTTTGTTTGTTTGATTTTTAAGTGGTCTGGACATCTTCTATCCTGGGAAGACCTGGATATACTGGTAAAGTCTTATCGCCCAATTCTTTTTCTACACCAAATGAAGGCCACTCCTAGCCAGTTTTTACTTATCTTTCCTTGTGAAGATAAAATGAAATGACATATGTGATGTGCCTGGAAACTAAGAGACACTCAAAGTTTCTTTTCCTCCTAGTCTGTGAACTCCTAGAAGACAGGGATGATGTCGTATTCCTCTTTACATACCCAGATCCTAACACAGAATCTGCACCTACTTAGCTCCCTTGCTTTCCCCTTCCTCTTTCCCTTCGTAGAGAACCCTTTGCAAATTTGTCGCAAGGAGTATATCATTTCTGACAT